AAAACCTCGGACAGGAGTGCCGCCGGGTGGGCAGACAGGCGTCTTGTTCGGCTGTGGCTTGGGGGCACTTTTTTCAGGTAAAGAAATATACAAAGTAAAAAATATTCAATTTACAAGCCATATTTCAGTACTAAAAGAAGCAAACTGATGTCACAACAAGACTTTGTAAGAGTAGACATCATCAACCTTGAGCTGGTCAGGATCACACTCCTCGCTGTGGACAGAAATAGCCTGCAATAATGCATTCTAACCACTGTGTCACAGAGCTCCTGAATCATAGGAGAATGCTAAATCTAGAAATTATATTATTAAAAACTTGCTAAAAGCTATTTCAGTGGTGGCGACTGTATGGCACGCGTGCCAGAAGTGGCACTCAGAGCCCTCTCTGTAGGCATACGCGCCATGCCCCGAGATGGCGACCATCCCTCTTCAACTAGCCGCCTGCTAACTTGCCGAGGTCCCACGTGGCTGGTTTCCCTCCCCACCGTCCCATCCCTCCTGGCCTTGCATACTCTCCTTTTCCTGGGCACGACCCACTGCATCTCCTCCTCAGCTGTCGGCGGTCTGTCCAGCTCAGAGGCAGCTTCTCTGAACTGCTAGTGGTGGGCTGCAGAGTCCCCGAGTGTGCCTGTCAAGGGGCCAGCTGCTGACAGACACTGTCGGCCCCCATGCACTCACTGGCCTCTGTGTGCGGGGGCCAATGGTGTCAGGCAGCAGCTGCCCTGGCCCCGGCCTCATCTTGCCCTGTGACAATGGCACCCCCGACCTGCCTCACCTTCCCTCACCTCACCCTGCCGGATGAGCCTCCTGCCCACCACCCCACTGCCAGAGACCCCCTGGATCTCTCCCAATCCTGCCCAGCCCCCACAGGCATCCCTCCCCATGAGCAACATCAAGGTGACCATGCCTACCTTAGCCACATCCAACCCAGTCTGCCATGAACACCACAGCCATGCCCACCCAGTGGGCCATGCCCACCTGGCACCCAGCAATAAATGTGTTCTGGTTGCAGCTTGGGTACTCGGTCTCTAAAAGGTTCGCCATCACTGAGCTATTTGTTTATATCAGAGGAGAGCACAGTGATGTCCATGGGCACAAATGTGCATCCACCAATTTTCTGCCTGTTTAACTTACTTTTCTTAATGTTCTTTTAATTAAAAAAACAAGAAGAAGATAAATAGCAAAGGCAAAAGCAAAGCAACCACCTTTGTGTTTAAGATGCCTCTAGGCCCCATTAACAATTTTAAAAAATAAAAATAACAGATAGTTGTAGCCCAGTGTTTTGTTTGGAAATGTACTTTTCTGCTAGAGAGAGGAAAAAAAAGGCAAAAGATTTTTTTATAGAGATCATTCTGATGATTACATGGATGACACAGAAAAATCTCAATATTTGAACCTCTACTACTATATTCAATTGACTGGCACCCCTCATGGAAGATATGTTATGAGAACATCTCAAAATATTTCCACTGATCCCAAAACAGGTTGCCTAGCTCCATCATCTATGGTGGGGTGTAAAGAAATACATCCTATAATTAAAGTTGTAGTTGAAATGGCTGGTCTGCTTGAACAAAGGATACATCTTCCACTTTTCTGCCACACGGCTTGCTGAATGGATGATTTTTATGTATATAACTTGGAACAGTTACATTAATAGTTAAAGAATATTTGACTTTTATTCTGTTTGTAGCTTTGTTTTAGCAACATGTGTGGTCTGCTTTGCAGTTTACATTGTGCAAAAGTTTATAAAGCCCAAGTCCAGTATGAATTGAGCAATATCACTCTGTTTACCATACATGGGGTAAATACCCTCTCTAAAACTTACATCTGATATAAATAACAATCTCATTTTCAGAAGTCAGCCAAAGAAGCAAATATGTTTTATAAAGATATGAGAGCCACAGACCACAAAGAAGTCTAAAGAGAGTTTACAAAAGGTGTAACATACACACTGTTCTCTAGGATTTCTCTTCTTATGACTGCAATAAAATATTAAGACATAATCTTATATTTGGAATTGGTGGGAAATGATTGGAATGCACCAAAAATTACTTTAAAAGGATTTTTCTTATTTCTTTTTAGCATAACAAGTCAAGATTTACAGAACAGCCATCATGTACTTTACAATACAGCACAATGGTCACGTACTTCTTTGCAATCCAAACAAGAAAAAAAATCTTCTGGCTCCTTAGTGACTAAAAAAAATATATATTGCAGCATTAATGTCTGTGGATAACAGTTTACTATTGTACATTAAATGTGTTGGAAGGATAAATACTCTTATGATTGGGGAGAGGTAGCAGACCTGCCAACAGTGATGTCAGTTATTAACAGTGGCCATTCACATAGCTCTTGTTTGCTGGTAACTCAGACACAGCACCTGCCATGACCTGATTGATGTTTACAGACATGTAATAACTGCCAAAACACCTCAAAGCACCTAAGTCTTTTCCTGACATCATGCAGCTCTCCTCTATACCTTCCATGATATCTTTAAGGGGGAAAAAATATGTTTTGTTTAATATGTTCCTGGCATATTTTGCCCTCTGATATGGATCTCTGCATAGTCCTAATCAATAATATGTCTGAACACAGGGCAGCATGGGGCTAACTGCATCTGGACTTCGAACTCTGCAGGATCAGACCTGATTTAACACTAGAATAGGAAACCACCAAAGGTTCCCACAACAAAATATACTCTGGAAAAAGGTGGAGGTCAGAAAACTATACAGACATGTACTGTACATATAAACCAGGAACTCAACTGGAGGATGTCTTTGCTTTTTAAAATCAGTAACGCTGAGTAAGCTAACACAATCCGTGTCTCAGAAGGATGGAGTCAATTTTGCCTACTGTGTGTGGTGCCTTGGAAAATGGTTGGCAATTCTATTGTTTTAGAATCACAGCACGTTACTAAGTGCTTATCCTTGGTTACAATCCCAACTGATGGACTATGTTGGCTTGACATATCGTAAATTGTGCAGGCATGTCTTGAAACTGCTCATGAACTAAATCTTATCATTCAACATCATCTCTTTTCCAATTAAATGAAAGCTGGCAGGAATTCTAACATTTAATCCAGCTGGATGAACTATTAACATTATATAATAAGTGGTTTCTACATAAATGGATGAACTGCTAATTAATGGATATGAATGTAGGTAATTATGTTGCTTGTGTTTGTTAGGCCATTAATCCTGTTTTTTTTTTTTTGCAGGTTTAAACATGGTGCTGCTGTACTTATGATTCACATAACATTTTAAATTGTTATACAAATTTCCTTTTTAATTTTAAGAGATGGCAAACTTAGGACAAGCTGGTGTTGGAGACCAAAGCCAGAATCTGAATCGCAAATACCTCTTTGAACTTTGTAATCAGGTACACTTTATATATTATCCTACAAGGAAAAAAAGTGAACAGTGTTATGCTGTGGTATACAGTAGCAGCATAGTAGAGATCTGGCTTAAAAGTGCCAGTGAACTATAACCAACAACTTGAGCCCAAAGCAAAGTAATCACACACGGACTAAGTCAGAGATGGGACAGCTATGAGAAGGTCACTGTTTTGTCAGTCTAAGTTCAAGAAAGACACAATTCAATGGACTATCAGTCATCTCACATCTTCTTATTGTGAAGTAAAACTGCAGAGGTCACACACAGTTTTCAGCTCCTTTGAAGAGCATACACTACTTCACTTGGATATGTAGCACTGCTAGACAGTAGAAACAGAAAACTGTTATGTGATGCTCGGCAGTAAATATTACTGTATATTGTTGCGTACAAAAAGGCTGTTTGAAAGAAAAGCAGACTGAGTTCTGGGGAGATTTTCACCCAAGCAAACTGAGATAGGCTTATGTCTCCCAAATTCCAGACCCTAAAACATTGGGCCTCGGATAAAATGAGCCCCGGGGTGGGGTGGGGGCACTGAGAAAAATGTCCATGAGATTGTTTCTTAAATGTGAAAACAAATTCAGAGGGAATAGTTTGCTCACTGGGATTGTTTTTGAAACAGATTCTCTCATATCGACTCTCATATCTTAACTGTAGGATACATGCCTATACTAACTTGAGATTTTAAGACAACTTTTATCCCACAAATTCAGGCTCCCTTTAGTTCTGGAAAATAGCTTTAGCCCTGATTTTTCTGACAGATGGAGCTGCTCCCTTCCTGTAAAGAGCTGTCCCTTGACAGTCAGCAGACACTGATGCCCCTTGCGGTCAAAGTATATTTGCAACAGTAAAACTTAAGGTAGCACTAAAAGGACAACACACACACACACACACATAGAATGACGTTCAAGATGTACTACCAGCAAAGCTGAAGGATACCAAATTCCTCCCCCCACCCCTTCATGTCTGCTAACCTCTTGCCCTTAATAACATATACTAATGTGAGTTCATAGGATGGATATGTATTTATCTGATGTTTTTAGCCTGCCTGTATTACTTTATATAAGTAACTAATACTCCTTCCTCCTATTTTCTGCTTAACAACAACTCTGTAAGGTGGGTTGGACTCAGAGAGAGTGACTGGCTCCAAGTCACCTAGCTAGCTTTCGTGCCTTAAAGCCAAAGCACAACTAACAGTCTCCGATTTCAGCGTGGTACCTTAACCATTACATCAAACTATGTATGTGTGTTCTTAAACCCTCCACAACACGTCCTATTCTTTGCTTTCCACCTTTCAAAATGGACACTTTTAAAACTGTACCGCTTTCCCCAGGAATGATTATGAACCTCGTTCAGATGCGTCTCCTCTTACGTACAAAATCCATTCTTTTAGCTAAGCCAACTCCTCCTCCCTGGGTTCATACAGATTGGGAATTCAAACATGCGAAACCGACGGCAACAGGGGGGGGGGTGGTGGTCGTAGACTTCTACGTGGTCTTAAGTGAAAGTTCAGTGAAAGTTTCAGGGGGACCGGTTCTATGTCAGGAGAGATCGGCGCGGGTGGGTAGACCCTGAGCGTGTCTTAACAAACTTGGGCCTCCCGGATCCCCACAGAGCAACTTACACTTTCAGCCCCGTCGGGCAGAGTAGACCGCGATCCACCTCTCTGGAAGTACCCAGTGAAACAAGTGTGCAACTCTTTATTCTGATGATGAGCGTTGGAAACTTTCATTTTATCTTTTCCAAGTTCCTTTTAGCTTGAAACGCCCTAGCAAGCGTTAATGGGAGAGCAGTCGCAAACTCTCGCCTTTCTGCATTTTCGTCCCTGGAAGAAGCGGCGTGGAGGAACTTCCTTAATAGGAGGAGGGGTCCTCGGGGGCTACTGTCAATCTTTTTAAGCCTTTCCTTTCAAGCTTTGAATGCGAGCAGCCCACTAGCCCCCCGGAGCCCTCTCCCCGCTTCTTTCCTAGCGATCGTAACGAAAGAAGGGGAAAGGGGGAGTTTCAACAGCGGCCCGACCAATCGCGGGTCGCGTAGCAAGGAAAAGGGGCGGGGCAACTGGAGGGGGAGTGGAGAAGAGGAGAAAGAGCGAATCAGTCGGAGGGCTCCAGCCAAGGGGGGATGTGTAATAGGGAGGAGAAGCGTTGCTAATTTTTTTTGTTTGTTTGCTTTTCCATGCATGCATAATGAGGCCGCATCAGAACACGCTGCTGCCGCCGCCGCCGCTGCGTGGAGAGCACTTTTGTATTTAAAGCCTCGCGAAAGAAAACAGTTCCTCAAAAGTGTCGGCAAAGAGAGGAAGAGAGAGAGAGGAAGGATTCGGCGGCGAGGAAAGCCGAAGGGAGAGCGCGGGACCCGCGGTTAGTCCCGGCTGCCTCGTTGCTTGGGCTGCCTTCTCCTGCCCAACAGCGGAAGAGTCTGCGAGGTTCAGCGCGCCTCCGGAGCCCGGCCGGGGCTCGCGGGATGTTCAGCGCGGCCACTTGGCATGTGAGGAGATGCGCTGAGATCCAAGAAAGAAGATCGGCATGAGAAGGAGGGAAGCCGCCGCTCCGACTCAGCAGGGAGCCCATCACCCCGCAGCTCCAGGCTTCTTTCGCCGCTGCCCGGCCTCCCCATCCCGGGAGTAAGGGGCGGAGGCTGTGGGGCTGCAAAAAGGAGAAGGCGCCGCTTTTCTGGGCTCTCTGAAAACCGTTCCCGAAGGAAGATCCCAGGCCGCGGATGGATTGATGAGGAAGACCCCCATGCGCACCCTCGGCAAAACTTCTCCAAACTTTTCTACTCTCGGCAGCCGCTGGGCCGCCGCCGCTTGCTCCGCGCCCTCCCCGCTCGCTTCCCGACCACGATTGCCCTGCGGCCGCCCGCAATGGTGGCAGCCTGGCGGGGAGGAGGACGATGCCTACGGACCGCGCTGCTCCCGCAACTGGCCGCTTTGGGGCTGAGGCTGCTGCTGCTGCTGCTGGGCGCCGCCTCTCCTCCGCTGGGAGTTCACGGCCGGCGCCTCATCTGCTGGCAGGCGATGCTGCAATGCCAGGAAGAGCCGGACTGCGGCTACGCTTACAGCCAGTACGCCGAGGCGTGCGCGCCGGTGCTCATGGCCGAGGGGGACGGCTTTGCCGCCTCTGCGGCGTCCTCCTCCTCCTTCTCCAATAGGCGGCGGTGCCCGAGCCACTGCATTTCGGCGCTCATCCAGCTCAACCACACCAGGCGGGGCCCGGCGCTGGAGGACTGCGACTGCGACCAGGACGAGAAGTGCCGCGCCACCAAGCGCGCTATCGAGCCGTGTTTGCCTCGGACGAGCAGCGGGGGCAGCAGCGCGGGCGGCGGGGGAGCGGGCGGCGGCGTGATCGGCTGCACGGAGGCGCGGCGGCGCTGCGACTGGGACAGCCGGTGCAGCGTGGCGCTCAGCCGCTACATGACGTTCTGCGGCAAGCTCTTCAACGGCCTGCGCTGCACCGAGGAGTGCCGGGCCGTCATTGAGGACATGCTGGCCGTGCCCAAGGCGCTGCTGCTCAACGACTGCGTATGCGACGGGCTGGAGCGGCCCATCTGCGAGTCGGTCAAGGAGAACATGGCTCGCCTGTGCTTCGGAGCCGACGCTCTGGGGCCCGGCAGCAGCGGCGCCTCGGACAGCGCCTCCGACGATTACTACGAAGAGGACTACGAGGAGGAGCCCAGCCAGCCCACCAGAAATTACTTCGACGACATGGCTGCCGTCGCGGGCGGCGAGGCGGTTTTCCCAAGGAAGCCCTTGGATGGCGGGACAGTCCCTGCGGCCGCTTGGACGCTGCTCTCACTCGCCTCCATTTTGCTGCTGCTGCTGCTGGTCTCCTAGCCTAGTCTTGGGAGGCGCTCATGAGGGGAACCGTGGCCGAGCTGAGAGGGAGGAAAGATGGGCTGGCCGCGTGGCGCTTGTCCGGTGTGGGGTTTCTACTGGACGGGCGAGGGTCTCAGAGCTTCCCCGGGTCCCTCCTCTCACAGGATGGCAGAATATCTCCCATGGAACATGGTATCTTAGGAAGAGGAATCCCAGAAACAGGCCAGTATCCTGAGCATCTTGCCTGAGCTTCCTAGTTTCATCCGAAGGTGGAAGACCTCAGAAGTTGGCCAGTCCCGGCCAGTCCCCTTATCGTCTGGGACTTGGTTTGCTGTGTGTTCCTAGCTGTGTAAAGATTTATTTCCTCTCATGATGGGCATTTTCTCGCTTCTTTAAAAAATGATGCCTGAAAGGGAAGCTTCTGTTGTATTAAATTCCCTTTTTGATTCAAAGAAAGGGAATCTGGTACAATTAAAAAGCTGTGGGGTTTGTTACTGGGCCCTGTTTATTGACACTTTTTTTAAGAAGAGTTTCCAGTTGATGTCCAAAATGAATATGCTTTGGAATTCACCTGTAGGTTTTACATATATTGCACATTAGTTATTTTATGAGATAATAAGTAATGTCTTGACTATGCATGTCAGGGGGGTGTAGCTTGTGCAGTGTTTATTTTGCCATGTGCACAGACATCACCACTTGCAGCTGCCCAATTACATACAATGGACTTTTTCTCAATCCTGTCTGCATCCAGATAGGAAATATACAGTATGCATGACATATCTGTACATGTGCACTATGCAAATTGTTGCCATTTGGCAAATGACTTTAAAGAACACTGTAAGCAGATTGTCTCATGGTTATAGTCAAATTGAAAACAATAAATGTACCAATGACTGATTTTTTTTCAAGCTGTCCACAATGAAGTTAAGGGTTTCCTTGCAATGCTTCCAAAAGTGCTGCTTTGCATAACCATTCAACAAGTTAACATTCACAGCATTCATAATTATGGTTGACTGAAGATACAGTTTTGATTCTTTTTAATTGGATAGGTGTGCAGGTATAGAGGGAAGAGGTTTCAGAGTTGTTTCAAAGATTCATATATAGTAAGCTTAGGACTTTTTTTGCAGAATGAAGTATAATACTGGCATGTATTTGTTACTGTGATGATTGCACATACTTCAGTTTTACTTTCTTGATGCATAACCTTGGAAGCTTTAATTAGCTGTGGCTTCCAGTTTTATGGGAAAAGGTATACATATATTTCCTACATTCCTGTGATACACAACTTCATTCTAGATGCCGGATGATATGTAGGTTCATTGGTTTTCCTACAGTAGTGGTTTCCTGTTCAGGGTTTGTATTGGTTTTTGCATTAGTTAAAATTGCAATACATAAGTTCACCAGTAAATCTTTTTTGCCTCAGCCTAGGTCCTAGGAGAAAAAAAATGCTGAACTGTTGGCTATTGAACAATGCAACCTTTGTCTCTAAAGAGCGCTGCACTGCCATCTTCAAAAGACACTTTTTAAGCTCAGTATGTAAAAATATCCTGAGAAGTTATATTGCCTCTAATCCTATCGGGGCTGACCTCTGGTAAATTTTATATAAAATGTATTTAAAACTGGTTTTGTTACCAGCTGTTGTTACTTGTATATAGAATTTTATAAAATGTATACTTTGGGAATAATTTATTTTTTAAGAAATTAAAAGTTTTAAATGTGTACCCCACCTGCAAAAAAATAATACATCTGTTATTCTTTTATTGCAAAGAGACAGATATTATTTTGTATGTTAAGGAATATAAGCAACAGTAATTCCCTAAATGAAATAATGTACAGAGCTTTTCCAAATAGGTCTGATTTTAAATTTTGTATTGTTTAAGGGATTTATGAACTTTGTAGAATTGTATAAATGTTTCTCTGGACTTCCTTAAACATTGTATTTTTATAGACTGTGTGAAAAGGCCTTATGTTTAAATATCTATTGATTGTGTATTTTTATGTGTAAATTAGTAAAGAGATTTTTAAAGAACAGTTATGGTGAAGTTGTTTTTAAACCACTCCAAATAGGAACAGAGTGGAATATAAATGGAAATAATTGGGTACAGATTTTGTTCTTCAAATTGCTATGAGATAAATTAGTGTGATTCAATGGTATTCCTCTGAGCAATTGGAGAACTTGCCAACTATATCTTAAGTAAGTTGGTAATTGCTTCCCTTCAAAATTATTTCCTTTGAGCAAAAATAGTAGCTACAGATATGAATTATGTTAGTATGGCAACAAGTTTGTTGTATGATTGGAGACAGCAATTCCAATTAATGCATTTTGCATTTTCACAGAAACTGCTGTGTCCCAGCTTTTTCACTGAAATACATCATTTTTGTTGATGGCAATTCATAGGAAAGCCTTTGTTTGTATCTAAGTACCAAATCCATAGTCAAGTACTTAACACATTTAGATTGGTGAATTGGAGGCACTTTGCAAACCAGCTCACCTTCCTTTCATGCAGGAGAGAGCAGATATAATGAAGCATGGGTGACCAACAATGACAAGCCTGTGTCTTACACTGGCCTTAGCAGTTGTTTTGCAGCCCTCTGAAGGCTGGTTTTCTGCCAGAGCTACTGATCTACACTCAAACACCCTTAGATAAATAATTACACTCTTAAGCTGTCTCGAGTGCTGATACACTTGACCTTGTAAATAGAAATGTTTGCAGTAAGAATAAACTCTCAGCATTTGAAAATCTTTTAAACATTAACACAAAAGAGAGAGCTTGGTCCTCAGGGGATTGCGTTTGAACTGTGCCAAGCTAGGCACTTGCTTAAAAAAAAGTTTATTTATCTTGTATCCCTGCTGTTTATTTAAAACTTCTTTTTCAATGCTGTGATTGGAAGACAAGTCAAAAGATTAAAAGCTGCAACAAATAAACCTTGACTGCTGAGGAAGAAAGATCAGCAAGAACTGTTATGCTTTCTTAGATAACATTTTTTTGGTGTGTGAAAACCATCAAACCTAACTGTTAAAAGCAGTTAACAAAATTGTAAATTTACTATTTCCACCACAATGCACCACATCATTTAAAAAAATATATGCTGTTTTTCATTAATTCATTGAACCTGACATTAAAATAAAAAGCTCCACTTACATATACTGAGTTTCTAGTCTTCAGGATAAACTTAAATACTTTTCTTAATTCAGTCACAGGAAATGAGATATTTTTAAGTCAACTTTGATGTTTGATCTGAGGTAATAGCTACCCATTAGTTATACTCTTGGGAAAGAAGTGTGGAAATCTGTTTGGGCCATAGATTTTCCTCAAAGAGAAATATACATTGGGGAACATAATTATTTCCTAGTACAGGAACTAGAATTTCCTAGTTAGTCCTAATTTGAGAAATTCCTGTCAAAAGTAGATGCCATGACACCTGGAATGAGGATTCTAAATAAATGTATTCTTTACAACTTTTTTTAAAATAAAAACCAACCAGAGTTGAGCTCCATAGAGAAAAAGGATCCTAATTGATTATTGAATGTCTTTACCCCAAAATCTGTTGGAATCAACCTGGTGCTTTCCAGATGTATTGGATGTTATTCCCACAATTTTCAGTCTGCATGGCTGATTCTAATGGCTGAGAATTAGGCTGACAATTAGTAATTGTGAAGTCTAGCACATCTGGAGCTCATCAAATGGATAAGATGATCATTCTATAGATATTTATATCTATCATGGTCAATTTCCTTGTTAATTACTTTGAGACATTTATAGATGATGACTTTATAATACTGAGAATAAATAAAAATAAGAGGGAAGAATAATAAGAAAAAAATGCACTTTTCTACTGAAGATTTGCTTCTATTTCTCTCAGCCCGTTCAATTTCCATGAGTTAATTTCTAAGAGTTTTATTACCTTGACCAACCAACAGTTCAATGCTATCCTATCCAGCAGGTGAGATTTGCCCAAAACAGGATGTGCCTCAAAGGATACTTGAGAAACAAATACAGCCCTGACTTCTTTGAAGTTTACAAGATTTCTGAAATATTTACAAGCTTTGACCCACCATGACAAAATGAGTGGGGGCAAAGAATGCTTCATCTCTCCCCTGTCTCTCTTAATACTTCCCCCCTCCCCATTTCATGTAAAATAATCCACTAGATACCCTTGTGCCCCTTTTCTTCCAAGTTACCAGATTTGAATTCTCAGTGACAGTTTATTTGTCTTTGGAGGCACTTCAGTGACAAATGTTTAAGGGAGTGTGAGACAATGGTGGAGAATAAGAAGGCAGTTCATTGAACTGACAGTGACCATACAGTAAATAGAAGCAGATTCAAGCTTCACTGATCACCCAAGAGCACTGTGAGGCTTTTGTACACAAGCACAATGGATATAACATAAGGTCTCTGTTTATTTTTAACAATATATAAAAGTGTATGTGGGCAAGCATGGATCACCTGAAAATAAGTGCAAATGAAATGGCTGACAAGTAAAGCAAACTGTCTTAACCAACTTATTTCCGAGTGGTAAGATTAATAATAATAATTTATTAAATTTATATGCCCCCAATTCTCAATGACTCTAGGCAGCTGACAAGAATCGGAGACTTTACAGTAAGACTTAAAAAATGGAGAAGATCAATTCCTTTCAAAATCACATACAATGTGGAATGAGAAACAGATTTTATATTTCAAACTGCCCTTATATTATAGGTAGATAACAGTATATAGGTAGCTTGAAACTGGATTTGATGCTTCTCTAGAATTACGTTTTTTAAAATTCTGATTCTACTGCATCCTATGTGAAACTGAGTATCCTAATTCTTATGTTCTCGAAATGCTAAAAATATTCCTCATTTTAGATGTAAATATGGTATATTTGCATATATTTGCATATTTACACTAGAAAAATATGTAGTGGCACTGACTACTACATTTTAACACTATCGTTTATTTTCTTCATTTCAAACAACATAAACTACCTTAAATGGGAGTTTGTGATTAAATAATGGCCTAAGTTTAATTGCATTCTTATGTTCAGCAATCTGGTAACCAAGCTGGGAAAATTTCAAAAATGGGCTTTGGGCAGTTTCAGGAAGTCTTTTATGATTTCATGTGTGTGTGTGTGTGTGTGTGTGTGTGTGTGTGTGTGTGTTGAGTTGAGTACATCATTGCTAGACAGAATGTTTAAATAAGTCTTTTCCCTATAGCGGAATACAGGATCAGGTAAATCATAAAGAAGAAAATAGGAGAAAATAATTCTGTGTATGTACCTATACTGCAGAAGAGAAGAAGTTAACATAAAACCTAACATAGGATAAAAAGAAAAAATTAAACTGTTGCATATGTGAATGTAGGCCTACTGTATTTTACTTGAGGTATTGGATGGAGCAGACAGTTGAAAAGCCTCACACTGACAAAAGTGATGCAGTATTAGCATAAATACTTTCTAAGGCATCCATTTAATCAATTTCTCAAATAATGGAATGATCTACTACAAAATAGTGAACTGTATACACTATATTTTGGCACAAAGATGGTCATTCTCCCAGTAGTAACCAGGGACTCTAAATAAATGATTTCAACAACGTTTTATTAAAGGAGGACAAGAGCCCTCAAGCTGCATTAATCGGGGAGAAGTCGAGTGGCACTTTTGTCATGGAAATGTTAAGCACATAATAGTTCAGGCAAACAATGTGGAGCCACTTCATTCTTTCAGCCATGCTGACACCTCTTAAAGAGGAACTGCAGGGAAGGATGTGGGAAAGATTTGGTTTCTGGAAAACTTGCCTCAGCTAATATTTTTGGAGGCTTACCTCCAAAAGACTTTACTAAGGGAATGGACAACCATAGAAGAGATACCATGTGATCAAATATAATATGAAACTGATCCTTTTATTTGCATTTGCTATGGATCCAAAGGCACAGAGAACTGACTGAAAAATTAAAAATCCATACACTTTATAGATATGTAGACCTGATAGAGCAAGCCTATAAACAACCTGATTTACATGCTTGAAACTAATGAAAAGTCAAGTAGATTTTTAAGGGAGCAGGAGGAGGAGTAAGAGGAGGAGGAGAAAGAAGAAACAGTGCAATTTAAAAAAAAATAAAACATGTATTTTATTTGTCTGTAATTCCTGATATTCTTGAGTGAAGGACAATATACATAAAAACAATAAAATAATTTTGAGAAATCCTTTACATGAAGAGGTAGAGATCATGATATATCTATGATGACTCCGAAAATTAAACAGTAGTGTCACAGGAAAATAATACATATGCAACAAATGAAAAATTAAGAAAATGTATTTACTCTTGATTATGCTAAAATATAAGAAAAAGGTCAACAACAGTGGTAGATTCAGGAAAAATATGAAAGGAAATCTTTTTGATACATTGGATAATAAAACTCTCTGTAATTCATTTTGATAAGCTATAATTATGATCATTAACTTAGATTACTTCAAAAGATTAGATCAATTTACTGAAGATGAGTTAGCATTGCTTTAGTTGTGATAGTAATAAAATACATCAGAAGCATAACTCTTGCTTATCCACTTTAGTGAACAACAGTAGGAAACAGATATTTTCTGTTTCTTATGCCCTAAGGGAAAATATTTCGTTGACTTCCCAAAGGCAGGTAGATAAAATCTGTAGGGAACAGGAACTAACTAAGATAAATTGTAATATATTGAGAATGACACTGCTTGTATTCTTGAAAAAGTTCAGTAAGAGAACAGCTTTATGGACATAACTTCAGTTCAGTTGATCTAGGGATCATCTATGAAAATGCAGAATAATGTAGAAGTATCACAATTCATAGAATATAAAATATCAGAGTTGGAAAGGACCTTGGAGGTCTTCTAATCCAACCCCCAATAAATAATGTGTTGTAATGTGTTGTAATTCACAATACATGGACTACAGATGGCATATATCCTATTTCAATGAACAGATCATGCAAGATTCTATGATGAGATATGGTTTCTTGAAAGAAGAGGCAATGCTTGGTGACATATTGCTTACCTATGCAAAGAT